CCACATGTGTTGAGGAGGAGGAAGCGAGGGCTGCATGTGTAACTTGTTGCGTGTGTATCTTATTGCGTGTGACACTCTCCTGTATCATACACACATCATCAACCCATGCAGTCAAGCAGTGGTGGAGATTGTGTTCTTTCCACCATCCTGTAACAATACGTTCCTTCGCAGGTCCGACAAATGGCCGACAAGAACCATCCCCACATCGTGCGGTTGCTCGGGTTTGCTGTTTGGAGGGGATATGAGGACGCGGCCAGAGCAAATCCTGATCTATGAGTTTGTTCCAAATGGCGACCTTGAAAAGTGGATCAATACAGGTACTAAATGCTTCGCTAGCAATCTTCTTCTTTTCCTGCCTCTATGACGGACGAAAGCTAGCTTAAGCTAACATTGTCCCACTCATTCTGCAGAAGCGCCCCTCGCCTCACCTTGAAGCCTCACCTTGAAGCAGGAGCTGGATATCCTCATCGGTGCTGCACGTGGCTTGGCATACCTCCACAGTTTTGGCCTTGTGCACCGCGACATCAAGCCCGCCAACATCCTTCTCGGGGCCAACATGCAGGCGAGTCTGTCCAGCATCCTCTTCGTGCATTCACTAAGTCCCTTCTCATAAATCACACAGAGTTGAATGACAGATCATTAGCAAGTATGGTTTAGTTTTGTTTCGAATGTGTTGTAAAAACCACTTCATAACTTCAGTAAAATTTTGAGAGTGTAGTATGGGGCATATGTGTGGATGAGAGTCGAGTTATTGAGGTGATGGAGAATTTATTAAGTATGTTTTACTACAATATTATATCCTTTCCAGGTGGCTTTCTGCTAAGGCTTACGCTTGTTATGGCGGCTATCCCATCCTTTGTGATCAGGCCAAGATTGCAGACTTCGGACTAGTGAGGGCGGAGGAGGGCAGCACAGTGGGCACGACTCGAGTGATGGGAACACCGGGCTATGTGGATCCCATCTACTTTCACACATCAAAGGCGACCAGCGCCACCGACGTCTATGGGTGAGCCATTGATGATGTCTGCTTGCAGTGATGATGTCTGCTTGCAGTGATGATATCTTCCTGCGCTGTTGATTTCTGCTTGCAGCATAATGCTAGGTGGGCGGTGAACTATTATTCTCAACATTAGGTTTCCTGAAGTAGAAAAACTTCAACCCATTTTTGCTACTTTTTATTCAATTGCTTGTCCTTTAACTTGCAGCTTCGGTGTGCTCATGCTTGTGGTCCTCACGAAACGGAGCCGCCCGCTCCATACGGGTGATGGAGAGTGCGACCACATCCTTTCATGGGTGAGCGATATATTTCCCCACATGGCATCACTTGTGCATGTGGCAATGCTTTTGGCATGGAAGTGCTTCTTGCACTGTGTCTATACACTCTGTCAATCATGACGCGCGTCGTTTTTACCCTGTGCCTTTTTCACTGAATCAATCTTGACATATGCCTTGTTTACCGTATTAACGTGTCAATCTGGACGTGTCGATTTCTGTGCCAATCTTGCTACTGCACTTTGACCGGTTGCCTTCCCTCAAGCAAAGCAGAGCCAACGGTCAACTTCCCCTTTTGATGATGTCAAATCATGCTTTCTTTCTATTCCCTTCCCCAACTTTCCCAACCAATCAGGTGGAGGCGTGCATTTCCTCTGACACCCCCGGCCCTCAAGGACCTGAGCATGGACGCCCCGGATGATGCTGTGCTGCGCCTGGCCAAGCTGGCTCTCAGTTGCACTAAGGAGCGCAGTGCAGATCGGCCAAGCATGGCAAGCATTGCCAACGAGCTGCTTGCTATCAGGAATGAGGTGATGGGAATAGAGGAGCTGGGTGCAGCAATTAAGGTGGACATGCAAGCCCAGAAGATGGAATTTGCAATTTCTAGTGAAAAGGGCATGGACGCTTGGCCTCCTGCTTGGAAGTTCTTATCAAAAGCGGCCAGCCGCTGGAGAAAGTTTTTAGGCGGTAGGAGCTACTGACTATGTACCTGGATATTGTTTATACATGACCAATGTGAGCAACATCCTGGTGTTGCTCAAGGTGGGTACACCAGTAACAATAACAAAACTTTGTTGCAAGTATGGAAATACAAAGGGGGTATGTTTTTCAATGTGTGGTAGTGAGGAAGGAGTGCTTTGAGATTCAAAAACAAATTCTTGCTACAAGAGAGTGATTCATTGCGTTTGCACCGCGTCCACGCTCGAGGCGCGACATGGATCAGGCCCTCATATTGGTTTTGGGACACGCTTTTATTTTAGTGTTTGTAGTGGAAAAACCGCGGATCATCTGTTGAGATGTGAACTTTTATGAGAAGGCATTCCTGTACGCTGCAGGGGCCTACTCTACCGAGTATGAAGTTGAGGAGACAGAAGGGTCGAAGCGACACCAGCAACCGTCATTTCAAGATCGATGCAGGCAGAAACATTTGAAGTGAAAAGAGCAGGAACATGTTTGAAACGGGTTCCGCGCGCACGGTTTGAATTTCGCTGTAATAAGGGAATGTACCCCTTAGAGTTAGGTATGATCAAAAGGCCCGACCCCAGGGCTGACGCTATCAGACTATTTAGTCTGATTAGTCTGACGAATCAGACCTTGCACTTTGTGGAAAATGGATTTCCAGAGAAGTCCATTTTTCATCACTGAGTACCTCAGACTTATTGTTTTGGGGCCCCTGATTCCATGTAATAGGCTTCAGACTTAGTCGTTTCTGGAGTCTGACTCTACAGAGTATCTATTCTGTGGTCCCCGAAGCGAGTTTATCAAGACGAAGATTCCTGGAAATTTCCTCCCGATACCCACATTCGAGTTGGCAGAGAGTGCTACCACGCGAGCAAAGTACACTTCACCAGCTGGGGATACCGAATACACCCTATCTGCGACAAAGACACGCATTTTAGATTGTTGCGTGATTGGGGTAACCATTGAAGTTTGAAATAGAAAAGGGCCAAAATGCGTTTAATCGCTCAACGAATCGGAGAACTTTACAGACAATCGAGGGGGGGGGAGGGTGGGGTGGATATCTCGCCACAAGTAGGATATCGAACTTTTTGGTACTGAAATCGGGTGTTCCCCGCGCCCAAACGTGTGAAATCGTCACTGCCAGGCGCGCCACCAAGAAACAATTCGTACCTACTGCCAGCTCATCTTTGCAGCAGCTCGGCCAGTTGGCTTGGCACTTGCAAGCAAAGTTCTGTAGCGCCAGGTCGCACTGTGCCAGGTACTGTACATACACAACATCTAATACATATGTACAGTGATTTTTCCCGCGGATCCGCGCACGTGAAACAGGCGACGGGACGGATTCGGGCGGGAAAGGCGGACACGCGTCCGCCAGTGAGCGAGGGAGGCTGCATGCCGCGAGGGATTCCCAAGGGACCCTCGCTGAGGAAAAATTTTTCCTCGCCCCGACGGCCCTAGGGAATACCTACGGGTTACCGAAGGGATTATTGGCCGTAGCTAACCCCAGGGGGAACCGAACTTCCGCCATCGCCAGCCACGTGGCTACGTCGTATGCGTCGTTAATATAAAAGTGGCAAAGAACAAGAGGCTGACGAACAAAAAGCGAAGAAGACGTATGCTCGCAAGCGTAAAACAAGAACAAGAACAAGAACAAACAACAAACAAAAAAAAAACAAAAACACACGAACAAGAACCCACCAGCGCGAAAACTTATGCTGTAGAGAGGGATTCATGAGGTCGGGCTGGTCGTAACGAAAAGAAACCCTGTACTTTGGTTGCAGTCAAAATCCGCGAACTGACAGGCTAACATTGCCCCTGGAAATATCTGTCGTAAACGCACAAGTCCCCCTTCCCGTTCGCGGGCTTCAACGCCCCGGTTTTCGCAGGCGCGAAAATACACTGGAACTTCGAGTCCAGCAAGGTTTCGCGCCTTCGAACCTTGTGGAACATGCTCGCAATAGCACGAAAAACATGCTCGCAATAGCACGGAAAATCTAGCTGTAGTGGGAAGTCAGGAACCGCGAATGAACCCGCGAAAAGCGGCCATTTTTCCACCCGCGAAAACTACCCGAAAAACGAATCGCTATCCAGGTCAATTGTTCACCAACGCGAATATGGTACAAGCCGAGAGCACGAGTGGGGTCATTTAAATCGGAGCCCCAAAATTACTGGCCATCCCGCGGAAAAGGACGATCACATAAATCCACGAAATCAAGGGGCGACTTTCACACTTGCGTGGATGTCACGAAAAACCCCACGAGCAGTTTCAAACTCATGGGGATTTCCAATTTTGCTCCTAAAAAGAAATTCGTAACTTCCACACCCACGTGTACTTACGAGACCTCCGAATGCCGTGGACAATTTCACACTTGCGGGAATTCACGACTACCCGTTTTAATAAATTCTCGGCGAGGTTCCGCCAGCACGAAAGTATTCATGGTGGCTGTATTGCCCTTTTGATTCTGTGCAGAATCACACAAACGGGCTCACTTGTGAGTTGGCAGGAAACACGAACACCATCGTACGGTGCAAAGCGAAACCGAGTGGGTCAACACCCAAGCACACCCATTGAGAATCTGTTTTAACCATAAAAAAAGCGGGGCATCCTGAAACCGCGGTTACAAAATGGCAGCTCCTTGAACGTTTCGTGCCTTAAAAGGTGTGTGATTCTTAGCAAAGGCACGAAAATGTCACCCCCGAAAATCATATCGAAGGGGTCGAAAACACGAGTTTAACGAGCAAAACGGTTCACTATGTGCCAAAAAATCGGAAAGGGGGGCCGGGGGGGACCAGCAACCAGACGAACTACACGAAAACACCCACGTTAAGCCACAGACATCTAGGTAGGCGCGAAACGGCAGCTCCTTGAACGTTTCGCGCCTATTAAAAATGTGTGATTCTTAGCAAAGGCACGAAATATCCCCTCGAAATTCTTAAGCAGTCTTGGTTTCGGCGCGAAAACTTGGATTCGTGCGAAGACTTGAATGCCCACGTTTTTCCGATCTTGAAAGCGAACGAAGGCGCGATTTCAAGTTTCCACGCTTAAAATCGTGATTTTCCCGTGTCCACTCCCTCTCAACGGAAAACAATTTTTGTTGCTCCTGTCGTCTGATGAGCGAAAGTGCTGGTCTCATGGGTTTCGATTCGAAGGGCACGAAAATTTCGTCCCCACATCACTGGGGTTTTCGTGCGCAAGCACCCTTGCATATGATAGATGAGTACTTCCACATTTGCCTTCGGTCCTCGCGTGTGAATATTCCGAAATGACTGTACTTTTCAATTCGGGCAACATTCTCGGTTCGCATCCTAAGCATCGCCACTCTGCCTGTATACTGAGTACTTAGTCGAACTGCGCGAATCTGGGCCCGAAACCACCGTTTGAATTGTGTTTGCTTCGATTTTTCCCTTTTTGAGCTCAAGCGAACACACACGCGTACATTAGCACAGGGATAGCCGTTGAAATACCCTGTTCGCACAAAGCATACAGGCATTATCGGGTGCGAACTTCCCTTCCGTTTCAGGGGCGAACACCCGTCCGATTTTCGCGGGCGCGAAAATACACAGTGGGAAAAAAAATTGGAGCAAAAAATTGCATGATTCGCTCACAAAGATTTCTGCTTTCCTATTCACGCCTCGTGTTTGCAGCTATGGCCGTGTTTCCCTGTGTCACGTGCCACGTACCACACTGAATGCTTTTAGCATGTATACAAACAAATTTAGTTTACGATAATTTTCTCAGTGCCTCGATGGTTATATTTCCTACCCTTTCGTAACCAGTTTTCCTTTACGTTCGTAACGAGTTTCGCATACGCGATTGCAGGGAATTCGAGTTTCCCGGGTAACCCGGCCCACTGTGAGCTGAGTCAGCCAGTTCCCCACCCAGCTGCGTCATTCGGTTCGGAGCTGAGTCAGCGAGTGGTCCCCGCGGGCAGCCGAGGCCCGGCGTCCCGGTCAAGGCCCGAAGGGCCAAGCCTCGATTTCCTCGCCAGGAGGGTCGGGCGAGTTGGGCGGTTGACAGGGCACTTCCAGTCTGGCCTCGCTCGCGTGCCCGAGGTGACGACGGCGAGGGCATCGGGCCTCCTCGCGGCCCCTCCCTCGCGGAGGAAACGACGCCCTCGGCCGGATGGAGCAATCGCGCGCTGCCTGCTGTAACAATCTGTCGAGTCACACGCCATTCACACCAGCCAGTCCAGAATGCCACCGACAAGGGCCGGGCAGCGGTGTGCATGAGGACTACCGTAACCCTGATGCGGACCCACCGACACTGACTAGTCAGACACGCTGACTTCAGAACACTGACCAATCAGAGTGCCTGATTTCTGGCCGAAGTGCCTTCAGAGTGGAAAATCTTTTGGGGGGTTGGAATCAGAGTGCCTAAATTTGAAACGTCAGCCCTGCCCGACCCGACCCGACCCGACCCGACTTGGGCGAGCCAGCCGGGTTCCGGGTCGGATCGGGTCGGGTCGGAACATCAAATATCTTTGGCCCGACTTGTGTATCGGGTGCCGGATCAGGCTTGACCCGTCCTCGGGTCGGGTCGGGTCGGAGCTGGGTCGGGCTGGGTCGAGCCGACTCCCACCGACAGGGTTAGAGGTTCTCTTTATTACTGTGCAATGTTACATTTATTGAAAGTATGTAATATTAATTTATGCAACATCCTCAACTGTGTAAATAAACTACTCAATGTTGCTTACTGTGCTACGTGTTTAGCAAAAGGCTAAAAAGCTAGCAGTCACCTAGTAGTTTGAGTACTAACCGATTGGCTGAGTACTAACTAAACATTCTCGCAGGTTCTAGGGTAGATTATTACGCCAATGTTGCTTGTTGGGTGGCTGCTGGCGTCACTAGCTAGGTAACTTAACTTAATCCAGGTCGAAATGCTAGTCGCTGGGAAAAGTAGCATGTGCGATTGCGATCTGGATGAAATTGTCGAGAGGAACCCTCGGGTCGGGCCAGATACCCGACCTGACAAAGGGCGCGGTACCCAAAACCGGGCCGGGTCCATAATCGGGTCAAACCC